CCCACACCCCCACCCCCACCCCACACCCACACCCACACCCACACCCTCTAGTTCGAACTTGGACTTATTGCGTTCTTTCTTTTGTTTTAACTCATATCACAAGATAACAGTGCTCTTTTATCAGTTTGATATAAGTAAATCAATAGAAAAATAAACTCTTGGATGATATCTCTTTCTGTTTTGTTTGTTTCTAGGTAGGAAGAGAATGATATCTAAATAAAAAGTTAGTGAAGCACATAAAAGGAGAAAGGACACAATCTTAAGAACTTGCTTCACTGTATGCATCTCTATCAGTAATAAGAATCGCTTCAGTCACTTGGTGTATGCAGATGATAAGAAAAACATCTAGTAGTATATTTGCTTATTCTTTTTTAAACACCCTTTCTCTGTTTGTATAAAGACATCCTTCATAAAAGGACACTTGCATTCTATTTGTTTCTCTTCTTTCTAAAGATACTCTACATATTAATGTCTTGTGAAGTTCATTTATATATTCTTCGTAATGCTAAAAACAGCGACCATTTCAAAATCCAAGCAAAATTTGACAATGGTATCCAGCTAGATTTTACACCCTATCCATTGCTCGGTGATCAAGATGACTGCGGTATATTTATATATCAATTAAAATATACTCTAAAATGTGACGAAAATAATACGCTTTGTATACAACATGAAGATATGTGGAGACCAGTAGAGTATTATGAATTGTCTATCTCGCGGAAAATGATCCCAAATCCACACTTTGAGGCATCGAATCACCGTCAAGTAGAATGTCCTCAAGCAACAGTTTGGCATTGTGCATTACTGGACGTTGTTTTCGAGAAATCATTGATGCTTAGCCCTCCAGGTAGGATTTTGTCAAAGATAATAGAAAAATCATGATTCAACTACAACAACAGTACATCTGATTGTCTTTTATTTAGGATCTTCTGTACCACTATGGGATCAACTCTGCTTATTTACTTATTTCTTTATTCAGTGTCAAACATACGATGCTTGCAAGTTTATCTTCAATCAATTTATACATTTACGTTCCAATAATGACCTCCGTAGGGATCAACTTAGTGCTTTCTTTCGAACAAGCAATAACTACATTTCTTGTATCATGAAAGACTCAACTAGATATGCAATCGATACTGAAGTATTGATTCGCATGATTGGGATCTTATCTATTAACAAAAATAATATTGATATAATGTATTTAAATTCAAAAGAGCACGTACCACGTATCTTGAGTAGTATTGCCCAACAGTATGATGGTGTTATTGATTCGGCGTCTGGTGATAAATCAGACTCCTTCGAAAATGCTGTTGTGAAATTCTTATGTTTGAAATTGTGGTTGACAACAGAGTTCATAGAAAATAAGAAGGATACAAGTGGTGAAATTATTGAATTAATACATCGTATTCAAGAAGAAAAGCGTAAAAAAGTCGTCAGTGGCATGTTGAAATTACTTGTTGAAATTAACAGTCCAATTCAAGGATCCAAATGGACTGAATTATTTAACTTAGTTGAACCAAATCAACTTAAATTCAAACATTTGAGACTAACTACATCAATCGATGCTTATTTGAAATATCTAATTCAAATTGTGAGTACAAACCAACCGCGAAATGCCGATAGGGAGAGCAACGCTGTTAAATCACTTCACGATCTTGTTGCAATGGACCATTTTTCACGTAAGCCGACATAAAAGCAGTTTTCGGATGAATTACTCATTACTTCGGCGTATAGTTGCAAAACAGAGCAAGGTTTTAGAGACAGATCGATGCTGCTGTCATAGAATAGCTGAAATTAGTGCTGTTATGTACCCTTATCACGCATGAATACTTATGTACAGTAGCTATTAGATGTCATAGACTATTTTTGACTTTATTCCGCTATCTAAAATATAGTAGAAATCTGAGTGCGATGTAAATATTAGGTCTTTGATTTGTTTTAACAAAATGTTGCTTAGAGATCTACATTTACCATTATTCGACAGGAAAGATCAACACGATTATGTTTATGTTTAATGACAAGATTCGTTTTTGAGCTTAGAAAGCCTTTAGCACCTTTCAAAAACTTTTTTTCAGAGGCACCAAAGATTTTAATACGATAGTTAAACTGAAGCCAGAATAGCGTTTGGTATGATCCTTCGTACAATCAGCAGTTGTTCTTGAGGGTGTGGGTGTGGGTGTGGGTGGGTGTGGGGTGTGGGTGTGGGTGTGGGTGTGGGTGTGGGA